GCAGCCTGGAAAATTTAAGTCTCACTTAGCAATAAAGGCTTACTACACTTTCTGCTGAGACAAGCAGCTAGTTCAGCAACTAGCTCTTTCACAAACAAGTAAAATGAACCCATGTTTATAGACTTAGCTAATGGCTAGAATCCTTACCAGGAATTATTAAAACAAAACAGCGTCTACAGTAAAGTAAATAACAAAAGCCAGAATGAGAAGTCAAGAACAAGATGATGGCAATGGATGAGCCCAGCTGCTAAAATTAACTTTAATGCAATTTTTGGTGTTTAAGTGCTCCTGATGGGTACAGATTTAAATAGAAAGCAATTAATTATTCTACTTTTTCTTTTTATTATTTGTATTAGGAGAACGTTATGTACCTGGAGTGGGAAATGTGACCAAAGAAGAGGTCACAATGAGAGAAATTATTCACTTGCTTTGCATTGAACCCATGCCACACAGTGCCATTGCCAAAAATTTACCTGAGAATGTAAGTCCAGTTTTGCTTTTTTTTCTATTCACCTCAAGATGGAATAGTTTTTTCTTTTTCTTTAATTGGAAACTACTTCAAAATTTTAGGAAAATTTGTTAAGCAAAACCTCTATATTATGACCTTACAGTTATAAAGCAATTACCATTCATCCTTTAGTGCTATAAATTTTAATTCTGGTAGGAACTCCTTGACTTTTTGTTTACTTCAAAATAAGATTTCTCCAGAGGAAAAAGAGGGGCTCCCTGAAATACTGAGACTGTTTGAGTGATGTGTTAATCTGGGTCTTCTGAGAAGCAAATCTCATGACAAAACATTAAGATTTTATTAAGGAAAATGGTGAGGGAGCTGGGAAAGGCTAGGGGAGCCATGAGATTATGATGCAAGTCTGATTCCCAGTGAAATAAGAGGGAAGGGTGATTAAATAGAAGCATTCCAGACCGCTGGGCTTTGGCACCTTCCCATGTCTTCCGGAATGAGCCTGTATTAGTATCTTTGCTTTGCTCATTGCCTGGGAGCAGCAGGTGAAAAGCTTGGCCTTGGTGTCACCAGAGCACAGCAATTGAGGCATGTGGTCATTTATGCTTCCTGTGTTTAGAGATCTGCAAGGTGCATTCTCATGGCTGTCACCAGGTAGTATTTTTGTTTTCTTATATATAGATACTGAAATAATAGTCCCAAAGATTATCAATCTCATCTTTTTTCCTCTGAGATTTGAATATGAATTAGAAAAATGATTCTTAAAAAAGAATTATGCTTACCTGTGCTATCAAGGCTTTCCAGAGAGATACACGAGGTATAAGCTTTGACTATTGGCCATTCCCTCCACCCTCAAATTATTTGTATCTTCTTCCAGTTTCATTGTTAACTGATTCTCAAACTGCAGTCATTTGGCATATTACCTTCATAATTTTTGCATATCCATCTAGCAATTTTATGATTATTATTGCATTTTAATATCAACTCACATTTTCCTTAGCATCTTTCTAAGTAGTAGTAGCTGTGAAATAGTACACTTGACATTCTAGATCATTTTTTCCCTGATGCATATTAAAACAAGTGAATAACTATTCAGAAATTCTGATATATATAACCTTGTGACACCTAAAATAATTTCACATACCACTAGTAATATGCACACTATACTTTGCAAAATAAAAACACTTTAGGTCATTCTCTCACTTTTTGCTGCTTACCATAAGTACATTCTTAAAAACAGGAAGTTAAATTTCTTAATGTTTACAAGGCTATAGGAGTCTATGAGCTTACTGTACTAACTTAACTAGGTTCTTATCCTGATTTTAAATGACTTCATAAAAAGATAGTGTTCCAGCATTAAGGAAAAGTTCAGGCCAAGCAGAAAAAAAACTATTACACTTGCAAAAGGTGGAATACATTAGAATATCTGAACATGTGTTTTGCTGTAGATTACTAGTTGGATCCCATTTATTTTGTTATCTTGGTTTTAGGGATTAGTACACCATGGGTATATGCTTAAATGATGTGGGTGATGAACATATTACATAAAGAAAAGCTGCTTTTCTTTGAACTATTGGTAATACCATGTGCGTGTGTGTGTAGTGTATATGCCGTGTGTGTGTGTGTGTGTATGTGTGTGTGTGTGTGTGTACACACGAAGGCAAACTTAGGTAACATTTCTTTCTTATACAGTTTACACATGGGTCTTATAAGAAATTGATCTCCCAAAACATAACTGATTTTAGACCTAATTTTTTTATAGTGGAAATTGGTCTTTTGGTACAAAGTACTTCAGAGATTCAGTTGAAAATGTATTTCACTTCTCAGTAAGAGAAGAGCAAGTCATTACATGGAGGTAAAATTGACAAAAATATTGTTTCAACAGGAAAATCATGAAACTGGCTTAGAGAATGTCATAAACAAAGTGGCCACGTTTAAGTAAGTGCTTAATATTTATGCTTATTGTAAGAGGTAGATTGATCTCTGTTCTTTTACTTTGGATGCTTTGTATAATCCTTGCCTGAACTCCCAAGAACAAGAATGGAGTACAGATTAGAAGGGGTGAAAATGAGGGACACACAGTAGACACTTAGTACGTGTTTGTTGAAGAAATGATTGTTTTTGGCAGGTGAATGAAAAATATCTATTTGTGACATTAGATGATTTAGATAGCAAGTAAACCTTTCTGATAATCTCTTTCCCATTAATTTGAAGCCATAACTTCATATATTATACTATAAATTTTTATTTTATATGCTAATTTTATATTTTTTCTAGTAGAATTAAAACAGTATTTTACAATTCTTTCATTCTTTGGGTATATAAAATGGAAATAAGATTTTAATTGTTTATTAAAATTTGAAAAATTGATACTGTAGTGAATTTCTACTTGTTATTGTATTTATAAATAAATTACTAGTTTCAAATAACTTTTAAGGTAGGATATAGCTTTTCTTATGCTCTAATAATGTTCGGTGAAATATTTGACTTAAGAATTGGATAGAAACCAAAAGCTATTTAATATTCATAACATTAAATATGGTGTAGTCCTTTTGGCCTTAATGATTTTCCTTATAGTACTGTATAGAGGATTCAGTATATTTTCATTTGGAGCTTGCTAAGGATATGATGTCTCCCTATCATTTTAAATTTAACCTTAGACAATGCAATGTGCTTTAGTTGAACAGACAACCTTTAGGCTTCACAAACTATAAAAGAAGCCTTAGAGATTTAAGTAGGGCATGGGGATCAGGTCTAGATAGAACAAATTTCCCCAGATGTGTTTGAATTTCATAGTTATAAAACACAACTTAGCTGCTACCAGGACTTTGTGTTCACAGTGTAGGTTTTAGTTTTACTATTGGAATGACATTTATTATTCAGATTAAGAAAGCTAAATGAGATATAATTATGTATTTTTCTGTATATTATGACTTCTAGATTAATTTTTAGGTTTTTTTTTTTTTCTGTATTCTATCCTTCAAGAACATTACAGTTCATCTCTGTATTTTCCATCTATTTAGAAAACCAGGTGTATCAGGCCATGGAGTTTATGAACTGAAAGATGAATCACTGAAAGACTTTAATATGTACTTTTATCATTACTCCAAAACACAGCATAGCAAGGTAGGAAAAAGTATCTTTTTCAGTAAACAAACCTAAAATGCTTTATGCTTTTTAACTCCACAGAAAATGTCCTGCTTTTTTTGTAGTTTTCTGCTGGTTCTCATTAATAGTGGGCAGTATCTCACCCAAGAAATTAAAGTTGATTCAATAATGTCATCTAGTATATAGGCAATATTCAGATTTTCCTGATTATACCAAAAATGGTCTTTATAACTGTCTCAGAGGGAGGAGGATTCAATCAAGTATCATGCACTTCATGATCACGTACTTCATTTGGTTGTCAAGTTCCTACAGTCTCCTTTTAATTTAGGATAGTTCTTTTGCCTTTTTTGTATTGACATTTCTGTAGAGTACAGGCTAGTTGTCCAGAATATTCTACTTTCTGTTATTTGTCTAATTGTATTCTCACGATTAGATTCAAATTAAACATTTTTTGGCAAGAGTACTATATAGGTGCTATATTGCATCACATAGTGTCTGTTTGTCCCATGAAGGATGATATTAAATATGATCACTTAGGGGTGATGTCTGGCTTTGTCCTTATAAAGTGAATAATTTACAGCCCATTGCACATAATAGGCACTAGGTAAATATTTTGACTTAAAAGAATGGGGACTAAGTTCAGTTTTTTTTTTTTTTTTTTTGAGACAGGGTCTTGCTCTGTTATAGACAGAATGCAGTGGTGTCCTCATAGCTCACTGCAACCTCAAACTCCTGGGCTTAAGCAGTCCTCTTGCCTCAGCCTCCCAAGTAGCTGGGACTATAGGCACACACCACGATGCCCAGCTAATTTGTCTATTTTTAGTAGAGACAGGGTCTTACTCTTGCTCAGGCTGGTCTCAAACTCCTGAGCTCAAGCAGTCCTCCTGCCTCAGCCTCCCAGAGTGCTAGGATTACAGGCATGAGCCACTGTGCCTGGTGGGGACTAAGTTCTTGATGGGGGATATTCCTGATTTATTTTGCAGTGGCTTTCCTTAGGATGGCCATTTTGTTTCTAGGACAAGGAAGCATTCTGAATACGTGCTTCAGTATATAAAGTATTTTAATAGGTGGTTAGGTCTTTCCTGCCTGCTTTAAAATATTCCATTTGTTTCATGCTTGCAAAGCAGTATATTTAATGGTAGATTTTTTTTTTATAGGCTGAACATATGCAGAAGAAAAGGAGAAAACAAGAAAACAAAGATGAAGGTAAAAAGTGAGATTCTGAACTGACTCATTTTGACGATTTTCTGTGGTTTTTATGTTAGCAAAGCATATAGTGTTTTGTTTTTGTTCGTTTCGAGAGTAGTTAAGTAAAGGAAGTGGAAAGAGCCTTTTGCTTCTTGTTCACGTATTAAGATGTGGTCAATATTAGCAGTCATAGAATTTTTTTTTTTTTTTTTTTTTTTTTTTGAGACAGAGTCTCACTGTGTTGCCCCGGCTAGAGTGCCGTAGCATCAGCCTAGCTCACAGCAACCTCAAACTCCTGAGCTCAAGCGATCCTTCTGCCTCAGCCTCCCGAGTAGCTGGGACCACAGGCATGTGCCACCATGCCCGGCTAATTTTTTCTATATATTTTTAGTTGTCCAATTAATTTCTTTCTAATTTTAGTAGAGACGGGGTCTTGCTCTTGCTCAGGCTGGTCTCGAACTCCTGAGCTCAAACAATCCACCCGCCTCGGCCTCCCAGAGTGCTAGGATTACAGGCGTGAGCCACCGCGCCCGGCCGCAGTCATAGAATTTTAAATTGGTAGCATATGTAGTTTATTTTGGGTGACTGACATAATAACTTACATTACATTTGATATTGATATTTTCAATACTTCAAGGGTAGCAAAATATCATGTGCGTTGTTTTGCATGTAATCTATTATTTTTTGACATTTGCAATTTAGTATGTAGGATAACCCAAATAAGAATGTACCTGTTTGTCTCTTTTCCCATCCATCTCCCACCCCTTATAGCATTGCCACCACCACCACCTCCCGAATTCTGCCCTGCTTTCAGCAAAGTGGTTAACCTTCTCAACTGTGATATCATGATGTACATTCTCAGGACCATATTCGAGCGGGCACTAGATACAGATTCTAACTTGTGGACTGAAGGGATGCTCCAAATGGTATGTTTACTTCAAATATATTCTCTATGTCGGGTCCTAGAGTTCTTGGGGATCTGAAGAAGATCTCTGGTCTAACTTCCATCCGAACCACATCTACAGCACCTTAAACCTAGAGGTCATTAAAAATAGCTTACACATGGCACAAATTTCCTTAGTGATACCTTCTTATATAGCATCTTACTCTTGGGAACCATTTATTAAACCATATCTGTTTAATAAAATCCACAAAAACTAAAAAAGGCCTACTCATGCTAATAATAAGTTGGTATGTGATCATTGTACTGTGATTTTTTTATATTTTTAATTTTACTTGTATTATAAGGAGACAGTATAATAAAGATTTGAAGACAGGTCTAGGCTTGAGTTCTGGGTTCTACTACTTCCTACTTGGGAGCAAAAAATAATTTTCTCATTAGTGAAATGGATATAAGTGTAATTATTCATAGAGTTGTTAGGATAATTACCTCAAGTGAAAGCAGCTATTTTTTCTTGATATTGTTATAGATAAATTACTTAATCATGCCAATTTGTGGTAGCTGTAATTGGATATTTATTTAGGACCTGCCTAACTAAATTTTCTTTTTTCCTTGGGTATTGTTGGTCTGTAGGCTCTACATGCTCTCATGCTGTATGTATATCTCAATTTTTGTTACAATGGTGATAAATACTTGCAGTATTAAGTTTCAAACCATAGAGATGTATTTGAGATCGAGTTAAAACTTCTCTTCCTGTCTCTAGTGCCCTACATAGGAGATAAGCACTGGTAAAATTTTATATAATCATTCCACATTAGCATATATAAGTTTACCTCATTCTTGATAGCTGCATATTGCATTGTATGGATATGCTATAATGTATTTAACTAGTTTCCTATTAATAGACATTCAGGTTGTTTTTAGGTCTTTGCTGTAACAAAGAACACTAAAATGAACATCCTTGTACAACTATTTTTGCATACTTAAAGGAGCGTATCTGTCATACTAATTCCTAGTACTGGGTTTGTACCTTTACATTTTTGATAGATATTTTCAAATTGACCTCCAAAAATGTTACACCAGTTTACTTTCCTGTTACCAGTGTGGTCAAAATTGCCTGCTTCCTAACACGTTTTCCAGCTCTGTATTTTACTAAACTCAAACTTTTGCTACTCTCATCGGTGAAATATAGGATAATTTTGTTTCAACTCAAATTTTTAAAATTTTAAGCAATGAACATTTTTTTATATGTGTATTCATCATTTCTTTTTCCATGAACTGCTTGTTTGTAAACTTTGCGCATTTTTTATCTATCAGGTTGCTTATTTTTATACCTCCACTTAAAATATATTTACCTAAATAAGCTTAGTTTTAAAGATCTCTTATTTTCTTCCTTCAGGCATTTCATATTCTGGCATTGGGTTTACTGGAAGAGAAGCAACAGCTTGAAAAAGCTCCTGAAGAGGAAGTGACATTTGACTTTTACCATAAGGCTTCAAGTATGTTTGAGTATCACTTTTCAACATAGTTCTAGCTAATTACCAATTTAGAGTTGAAAGTTTAGATCTTACAGGGTTTTAATTTGTCAGTCCTGAAGGTTTAAATTTTTCTAGAGTTTTAATCTGTCAGTTCTTAAAACATAGGAGATCCCGAAATTATTTGTCTCTTCCTAGCATCTTTAGTTTTTAACTAGTATTTTTTAGCATACTAATATATTTTTTAATCCCCTAGTGCAGTCTTTTTACTACATGACTCCCTACTGCCCACTTTTTATTTGGGTTGTATACAATGACAGTTACTTACTTTCATTTCTCGTCTCAGTATTACTGAATATTTGCCGCTGCATCAATCGTAACATTCACATGACCCATCTGTGGAAGATATTAATGTTTCTGCATTTAAAATGATTGTAGAAGTTTGAATGAATGATAGCATGTTCATTTTGCATTGTTTTCAACTTGAAAGAAAAGAAGAGATTTAAATTAGATTTCTATTAAATGCTACCTAATTAAAATAGTTTTTTCAGAGCACATTCCACATTTTCAAACCAATAGGCAGGAAAAAAGCATTTCATTTTCTATTTATATACTGTATTTTTAAGATCCCTGAAGACATCATGAACCTAATCAGTTTATGGATATAACCCCCACAATATCCACTTGGATATTTTTGGCAGTTTTGTATTTTATTAAGCATTTTTGCTTAGACGTTGAACCAAGTGGATGAGAGGCCAGACAGGTCATTAAGGGTAGGTTTTGTTTAGCAATGCCACTGGAAGATACAAAAAAGAGACTTCAAGTAATTCAAGTTTTCTTGTATGTCATTTTTTTAACTTAGTACTTCATATAATTGTAACTCAGTACTTCATGTAATTGTAGATCTTTCACTGAAAAATTAATGTAGTTAAGGGATTGATCAGCAAACCTTGGTTACCAATATGAATAACATTAACTAAAAATTGTAATTTGTACATAATTATGAAGATACATTTGGCCCTTCATATCTGTGGATTCCACATCCAGGGATTCAACCAACCACAGATCCAAATTATTTGGAGTCGGCGGAAGGATGGTTGCATCTATAGTGAACATGTGAAGACTTTTTCCTTGTCATTATTCCCTATACAATACCATATAACAACTATTTACATAGCATTTGCATTGTATTAGGTATTATAAGTAATTTAGAGATGATTTAAAGTATATAGGAAGATGTGCATAGATTATACACAAATACTTTACACCATTTTATATAAAGGACTTGAGTATCCACGGATTTTGGTACCCACAGGGATCCTGGTGCTAATTCACCATGGATACCAAGGGATGACTGTATATATTTATTTATGATGTGTAATTTTATGTTTTAAAAAAGGATTGGGAAGTGCAGCTATGAATGCTCAGAATATACAAATGCTTTTGGAAAAACTCAAGGGAATTCCCCAGTTAGAAGGCCAGAAGGACATGATAACATGGATACTTCAGGTAAACTAGCAAAGTAAACTGATCATATCATTTAAGAATCCTCTACTTGCCTCTGAAATTAAATCACTATTTTTTTTCAATTGTAAAGTCATTTACTGCTGATTTTCATGATCACTCATATTTTGTCATATTATTAAATAGTAATTCTATTTTCCCTGTGTTTTAGTGGAGTTTTTAAAAAATAAAGCAAGATTGATTTATTTGTGTCATTATTTAGTCAACATGTACTTAATACCTACTGTATGCCATGCTCACCTCTAGACTCTGACCAAGACAGACAAGGTGCTTGCTATCATGAAGCATACACTCTTATTGAGGTACAGGCAATGAACAAATAAACAAGAAAGTATCAGGGTAATTCAGTAGATGAGTAGGGTAATTAGAGAAGGCCACTTTCAGAAGGTGACATTGGAGCTAAGACCTGAATGACATAGAGTCAGTCTTACAAGAATCCAGAAGAGTACTCCAGGAAGAGGGAACAGCAGTGCAGAAGCTCTAAGGTGGCCAGAAAGAAGGGTAGTGTGACTGGAACATGATGGGGGAGGGAGAGAAAAATAGGCAATGAGGTCAGAGAGGCAGCCAGGGGCCAGATCATGTAGGACTTTATAGGTCAGAGTAAAGAAAGTGGTAGCTTTTGTTTTTCAGGACAACAAGAAACCATTGAAGGACTTGATTTTTTTTTTTTTTTGAGACAAAGTCTCGCTCTGTTGCCTGGGCTAGAGTGCAGTGGTGTTGTCATAGCTCACTGCAACCTCAAACTCCTGGGCTCAAATGATCCTCCTGCTTCAGCCTCCTGGGTAGCTACATGCCACCATGCCTGGCTAATTTTTTTGTAGAGACGGGGTCTTGGTCTTACTCGGGCTGATCTTGCACTCCTGACCTCAAGCAATCCTCCAACCTTGGCCTCCCAGAGTGCTAGGATTACAGCCCCCATACCCAGCTGCATTTTCAGTGACATAATCTGATCTATATTTGTATAAGATCACTTTGGCTGCTGTGGAGTAAATGGATTGCAGGGGACAGGCATAGAAACAGGGAAACCTTTAGGAGACTATTGCAGTAATCTTGGTGAGAAATAAGCATGACATAGGCTAAGATGCAGATGGTGAGAAACTGAACTGATTAAGGTGTATGTTGAAGGTAGAATCTATAGTACTTGCTGATTGATTTGGTGGACGGGATGAAGGGAATCATGGAATCAAAGAAATTCCTGGATTTTGTGTTTGAACTATTGAATAGATCGCAGTGCCTTTGGGAAGGAATGAGTGAATAACGGGGAGGGGGAGAGGCTAGGAATGTTAACTTTAATGGAAAACCCTTCACATGGGAACACGAAGCCAGGGTTATAGAGCTCATTGTATTCGTTAAAATATTCTCATGTTTTCAGCTAGATGTTGTTTTGATATCAATTAAAAATCTTTGTACTGCTTTGTACTTTAAGAGGTCAGTCCTTTTTACTGTTATGCTTACTTAGAAACATTAAGCAAGCTTGATATAACAGGATATGTAACTATAAGATAATGATGTTATTAATATTTCTCTTGATGTAGATTTCATGAATATTTAGTATTTGTGTTTAATTTATCAACATAATGATTTTAAAATTAAAATCAGAACAAAAAAGTAGATATTATTCTACCTTAAGAAAGTAAATTGAGCTGTCATTTAATCCAGCATTTATATCCTGTAGACATAGTGTTATAAATTGGAGATCTATTTCTAAACATTCATTTCTATTAGAATACCAAATCTTACTACAAAAATATATGAAAAGCATAAGTATCTACTTTTAAAGACATTAGAGAATTTACCCAGATGCTTAATTTAAAGCTATGTCTTATGTGTTCCTTGTGGGAGGTTTTTCCTTATGAGAACAAGGCTCCTTCAGAATATAAATAAGCTTAATGAATGCACCATCCCATTGCTGAAACCTTGACATTTGTTAATAATAATGAGGTAGATCTGTATAAGCTGTTATGGAAATGTCTGCAAAGATAAATGATTAAGTGAAAAAAGGAGGTTTGAAACAATATGTATAGTAAGATCTCTTATGAAAATAGATATAAATATATTATATATTCTGACAAATTTTTCCTGGAAAGATATATTGATAATCTTTATTTTGGTTGTTGCTTTTGGAGAGAGGGGCTGAAATCAGGGAGAGGAAGATTTTACTTTCCATTTTGTATCTTTGTCTTTATGTGACTTTGCACTAAAAATGTCATTTTAAATTTTTAAAAAGAAATTTTTTCCTGGCAAATCTCTCAAGTAAACAGAGGCATGCTCATAGCTACATATTCAATCAGCTGATTTGCTACCAGGAGCCTCCTCCTCAGCTGGATTGCTCATCCACCAGGAGAGGTGTTTGTCACAATCAGGGTCACATCCCCCCCAATATATTCAAATAGTTTAAGTCAAAGACATTTGGAGACATTATGACAAAATCAGATTAGGGAATTTCTCTATTTCTGTTCAGTCTAACTAAATCTTTTAACATTTCATTTGTTTTTCACAGATGTTTGACACAGTGAAGCGATTAAGAGAAAAATCTTGTTTAATTGTAGCAACTACTTCACGATTGGACTCTATTAAGAATGATGAGGTAATAACACTGTAATAGTGATAATATTCATCTCTGTCTTTAAACTTTACAGGCATAAGGGAGCTGCTGCTTTTTGTTAGGAGGAACTTTATTGTAAAGTATGTGCTCTGGGATCTGTCCATCTTTTATTTGTTATGCTTTTGTACTGCAGGGATTAATGGTATTTGACAGATAATATTTCAGTATAGTTTATGTATTTTACAAAAGCAAAGGAAATTGATACATAGTGGAGCTCTATTATAAATAGCATATTTTATTAATTTTTAAAATATTTTAATGTCTGAAATTGGGATGTGTCTCACAATGGTTCCTTATAATCAATAGCGTTCTTTAGAGAAATATAAGATAATGGTATGTCTTAGATTCAATGAAATATGATATTTATTAATTTCCATAATATAGTGAATCAGATTTTGATGATTCTAATATTGCAATTATTAGAATATTATTACTTGTGTGGGGTTTGTTTCTTTGTTTGTTTGTTTGTTTTAATAGACAGGTCTCTGACTCCGTCATCCAGGCTGTAGTGCAGTGTCATGATCGTAGCTCACTGTAACCTCAAATTACTGGGCTCAAGTGATCCTCTGGCCTCAGTCTCCCAGGTAGCTAGGACTATAAGTGTACCACCATGCCCAGAGAATTTTTAAAATTTTTTGAGGGGATGGGATCTCCTTGCATTGCCCAGGCTGGTCTTAAACTCCTTGCCTTAAACAATCCTCCTTTCTCGGCCTCCCAAAATTTTGGGATTACAGGCATGAGCCCCTGACCCTGGCCTACTTTTGGTTATTAACCATCCTTCCTAAAATAAAAAAGCACCAAATACATCTCTGTGATATCGTTAAGGTTCTCAGTCTCAGCAATGCATGTAGGAATAACTGATTAGACATCATCAAGTTGGTTTAAATTGATTAAATGTCAGTAACTAAGTGATTGACAAATGATTTTAAAATTTTATCTGTTTTTATTTATTAATGTACTTACCTTGAGTATAAAAGGCAGTTTATTGGATATTTAAGATACTCGACCTTTTACATTAAATTATCGAAATAACCAAAGGAGTAATTCGTTGTATGATGTGGTGGAGCCTATAGTATTAATTTTGAAACATTAAACTTAATCTAGGCTTTAAGGGGTAATCAAGTCTTTCAGACTCATACTCTAGGAAATTTTGCCAACTGAACAGTACATGTAAATTTTTAACAATGAATCTTACCTAATTTTGTGATTTCTTAATACACAGATTACTCATGATAAAGAAAAAGCAGAACGAAAAAGAAAAGCTGAAGCTGCTAGACTGCATCGCCAGAAGATCATGGCTCAGATGTCCGCCTTACAGAAAAACTTCATTGAAACTCATAAACTCATGTATGACAATACATCAGAAATGCCTGGGAAAGAAGATTCCATTATGGAGGAAGAGAGGTAAAACAAAGCAAAACCAAAATTAGCAACTCAATTTTTGGAGGAAAAATTAAATATTCACGTTAAAACATGTTTTTCCAAAATGTATTTTGTAGTAAGAGAAATTAAACTATTTTTAAGCTAGGAAGGTCAAAGTGAAGTCTCTAAGGTATTTATTGATGTATTTTATATTACTAAATGGTTTGAGTACGCAATAAAGTTAAGAACCTTTATGTACAAAAAGATGTGACAGTAGGAACAACAAAATAGAAATCAGCTCTTGTTATTTTGTATGTATGAGCACTTTTAGATACACATTTACACATCAGTTCACACAGTCTACATTATTTTGTTTCTGATAAAAAAGACTACAGTTATTGCCTATTGGAAATAAATTCTTCACCTGAAAAAGATGGTTTATACTAGTTTTTCTTTATTTCTTAAAGAGAAAGAAGACAATACCTATAGCTGTGGGCATGGATAGCACACTGGAATGGAAATCAGTAAATCTGGTTTTCTGATTCCTGACTGTGGTATGTTCTTGGAGAAATCAGAGCCATGCTTTGTGGGCAATTATATAGGTACAGTGAGAAAAGGGAGGAGGCAAGATAATAGTACTTTGAAAAGCATTCCAAGAAATTTAAAATACTAAAAATACTCAACTTATGTCCATATTTAATAACAAGCTTTCACTGCTATTTAAAACCATGTGTGCTTGGTTAGGTGTGGTGGCACACACCTGTAGTCCCAGCTACTTGGGAAGCTGAGGAAGAAGGATCTCTCAAGCTCAGGAGGTGGAGGCTGCATTGAGCTACGATGATGCCACTACACTCTAGATTGGGCAACAGAGGAAGACCCTGTCTCAAAAATAAAAATATTTTAAAAATAAAGTAAAAACAATGTGTGCTATACGTACTTTTAGAAAATTGTGCTTTTGCATTAATAGTAGGCACAGTGTATTCTATGTAACATGTTTGTAATCCTGAAGCTGAGTATACTAACAAGGACCATAAAGAATGACTATATTAGAGATTAAAAATAAAAAGATATGAAGGTAAGCCTTCCTTGGCTGACTGTAGTGTAATAAAACTAGAAATAAATAAAAACATTAAACAAGTGTGGAGGTTCCACTTCTAAATATTATGTATTAACAACATCCTATTTAGAAAGTAGTGAAAAGGAAACTACTGACTATCAAAATAAGAAGATGTAAAGCAAAGATGTACTCAGAGTTAATTAGTGGCCTTAATGCTTTCATTATTTATTTTTTTTGCCTGATGATTAGACATGTGATTTATGAATGTCTTCTTATTGAAAACAGTTCAAATAATGCATTAAATTCCCTTCGACCATCCTCTACTTTCCTGATCTTTTTCCACAGATAACCACGATTATAAATTACCACTGTTCTAGACCCCTTTCTATGCATTTATAAATGTGTACATGAGGAAATAATGAGGCATGTTTTGTGTTTTTTAGTGGGTTTTTTTTTTTACCATACATTTTGTTCTGTAGCTTGTGTTTTCAATGTCTTATAAATCTTTTTCTATCAGTACATGTAGATCTATAGTGTAGATTCTACATCATTGTTTATGACTGCTGCATAGTCTTCCATGATGTGGATATACAATATTTAATTATCTGATTTTGGACATTTAGGTTGCTTCCAATTTTCCTTTATTACAATTTGTAAGCACCTTGTTGTATGTGCCTTTTTTTGCAATTTTGCAAATGCTTCTCAAGGTTGGACTCTAATAAGTGAAAGGGCTGGGTCAAAATTTTAATAGAGATGGCTACATTGCTCTCCAAAATGGTTTTACCAATTTCTACTCCCAGCAGTGTATAAGAGTATCCATTTGCTTTATTCTCACAATACTTAACTCTTATTAGTACTTGAAAATATTTGATATTATCAAAATTGTAATTTGTACCAATCTGACTGAATTTCCCTGATTACTAGTTAGTCCTAGGTTGCACATCTTCTCATATCATTGCCTGTTTCATTTTAACTTTGGGGAATTACCTGTTGTTATTGGATGCTTTGCTCTTATTGAAGTCCTTTAAAATTATGGATACTAAACTTTGTTAAATATGTTTCTCATTTTTTGCCCTTATTTCTTTAACATTTAATTATGGTATTTAGCCATAGAGAAGTTTTCAGTGTTGATGAAGACAGATTTATCAGTATTTTAGAGTTTTTACTTTTTGTATCTTGTTTAAGAAAGCTTTTCCTATCCCAAGTCTCAAATATATTCTTTTTTTTTTAAACCACAAGAAAATTTTTTTGCTTAGAATCTAGCTATGTTGCCCAGGCTGGAGTGTAGTGGCTGTTCACAGGCACCATTATAGAGCACTACAGCCTTGAACTCAGCTTCCTGAGTAGCTGGGACTGCAGGTATGTGCCACTAGGCCTAGCCACAATTTTAATTATGTTATATTAATACATTTTCCTTTTAAAAATTAAATGTTGCCTGTAATCTCAGCGCTTTGGGAGGCCACGGCAGGAAGATCAGTTGAGCCCAGGAGTTCAAGATCAGCCTGGGCAATATGGCAGTACCCCATCTCTAAGAAAAATAAAAAAATTAACCAGGCATGGTGGCATGTGCCTGTGGTCCTGGCTATTAGGGAGGCTGTGGTGGGAGTATCTCTTGAGCCTAGGAGTTCGAGACTGGTGAGCTAAGATTGTGCCACTGAACTCCAGCCTGGGCAATAGAATGAGATCCTGTTGCTAAAAAAAAAAAAAAATGAAAATAAATAAAAATCAAATATTAGAGATAAAGCTGAAGTTCCATTTGAGCACCAGCCCAAATCCTAGACTTCTTTCTACTCTTCCTCAAAGGTTCTCTGGTTCTAAGTTTTATGTGTATCTTAATCAGAATTTTTATTATTCTAGTACATACAAATATATGTAACCACAGAAATTATATAGTGTCATTCAGCCTTTTGTTTTATTTGCATATATGACATTACATATCATTCTGCAACTTCCCATTTTCACTGAATAGTATAATGCGTCTTGGAAATCTATATATGTTCTTACATTCAAAATGAGCTCAGTGTTCCTCAGTCTTCATATTTGGGCAGTGATTCTTTTTCATGCCATACTATCCCGTGAATTGTGGAACATTTAGCATCCCCTACCAACTAGTCTTTATGACAACCAAAAAGTAAACTTCCTCCATGTATTTATTGCCAGATGCCTCCTGAGAGGTGGTACCACCTAGCTGAAACCCACATTTTAAAACCCAGGTGTAGTAGTCTATATTATGTAAGTTTATTTACATTGGTGATAAACATTTATTTCCAGTTTGTTTAATGATACACCGTATTTCAGGGAGCTTCTTGTACAGAGAGACAATATTCCAGAGTAGTTCAGAGCATGGCCTGTAAGGCCAGATTAACTGGGTTAAATCCTGCCTTTGCTGCTTACTAGCGATGAGTCACTGAGTGAGTTTCACTGTCTCTAGGCCTCAGTTTCTTCATCTGAAAAATGGAAGTAATAAAAGTATCTACCTCATAGGATTATTATAAGGATTAAGTGAGTAAACATAATGTTAGGCATTCGAAACAGTGCCTAGCTTCACAATCAGCACATTATAAATATTTCCTATTTTTATATATTATTATTTCACACATCAGTAGATCCAACTTTAACAAATCAGAGTTGGTCCTAGGAATTGCTAAGTCATTAAAGTATAAGTTTTTTAGTTTTAGTAGCTACCAAAATAGAATAGAAATCTTAATGCCTAATGAGAGGGAATGGATAAAACTACTATGGCACATATAGTAAGAGTCCTGTGCAGCCATTTAAAAATGTTTCT